CAGGGAGTGAATAAATCTGTGCCATTGTGACCGATTTTCAGACGTGTCACCAAAAGTAGGATAATTGTATCCTGGTGAATTACTGCCAGACAATAAGTTTCGGATAACTTTCTTTCCTTCTAAACAGCGCGATACAAACAAATCTTGTAGTATGTGCATTGTAGTTCAAAATAGGTTGATCAGTTTATAAGTGAATGACGAAATACACAGCCCAAGTTGAATTTTCTCACAAATGTTAGTTTCTTAACTGCCAGCTGGAGAGTCAATAAGGTTTCCGCCGGCGACCACTCAGCCAAGTTCATAAGGTGTTATGAACTAGCGAAATACGCTACTAGTGATGGGTAAAAACAAGTTAGGCTGATCTGTACATTTCGCCAGTCAGATCAGAGTGATCTAAACACAAGATAGCTAGTTCATCACACTTTTGTGTCAAAGATCACACCTTGTTATCTTGGCTGAGTAGTTTTCAACAGAAACCTTGTTATTAAATCAATGATGGAAAGACAGAAAGCTACTCATTTTCTTGAAAGCATTCCGAGGAACCTACGGTGTAAAACACCAGTTGGTATCAGTACTTCGAAATCATTAATACTACCTTGTTTAAGCTTACAGAAGCCATCGCATTAAAAAGTCTAAACTTGTACACTGTAATCAGAAGACGAAGGTTATTTGAAACATGTGATATATTAGTGTTGTAATTTTTGAACAATCTCAACATACATGAAATCAAACTGTTGATATAAAAGTGTGCGGAAAAAGTCATCTAAGTCAATGGAAAACATAAGAACAGGAAGGATCGAATGAAAGCAAAATCTGATTCATATCACCCTTGTTATAAAAACGGAAACCAAAGTTGCCAAGTTTGGTTCACAGTGAGTACAAACTGTTTTTGTATACATTATTATGTTTCCTATTGATTTAACTGACCCTTTTTGAAAAATTCTAGTATAAATACTTCGATAAGTCCATATGAGATCAGATTGTTTGAAATGTATATCGTTAATACATAACATATTTCAGATAGCCTTCGTCTTACACTGTTAAAATTCATCAACCGGACTAATTGCTTTCTAAGATCAAGTCTTGATTTTTGTATTCGAAAAAATCTCAGTAGTTAACCTACAATAGAAAGCGGCCTAAGCGGAAATCAACATTTAAGTCATCAACCACTTAAGTAGATGCTTTGGATTTCAACCTTTTTTTCATCTTACCGTGTAGTCAGGAAAAAGCTTACTGGACAATCTTGTCTTACAGTTGACCAACCAAAATAAGTTTCCCAATTTTGACTTAGTGGTTTCATAAGTTCATGAAAACAGTATATAAATGATGTATTTTTGTCGATTAACATGTCTTCCTTACAGTCATAGACCGGGCTTTGTCTTCTAATTTTCGTGGCTCAGTGAAGTATAAGGTTCTGAGGAAGATCAGTCGGTATTTGTATTCAGTCCAAGTATCTGATCGCACTATTATCGTCCGCGTACTCATTATTTTTCATCCAGTCACTTCAACCTACAACTAACCTTCCTCTCTTATCTGTCTTCATAATGATTACAACCCACCAGTTTTTACTCACGTTTTGTCTGATTGATATCTTATGTTCTGTTCGTAATTATTGACTTGTTGCTTTTCCTTATGGAAAGTTATCAGAAGTCGTTCTAACTGTCTTCATATGGATCGTGGGTTTTACGTTTAGAAGTATGTCAATGTAGATTCTTTTAAAGAGTTATCCAGAGGCCTACTGGTTACCGGCCGGTTGCTCTACCAACTGATCTACAAGGTCTGGCTGCTGACTACATCTTGATTTTACTTCAGTCAGTCAGGGTTTTACCCCATTGCCATGTGAATTCATGGTGCGTAATTGTCCGTTCATCGTATTTCCACTGACTGCTCAGTCAGGACTTTTCATCCAAATGAAAATCGAAACAAAACGGGCGAGTATCAAAGTGATTGTCTAAGATAGCTGTGGTTTGGCGGACTTGTAGTATTCATACTGGGTGATGATTGAAGATGACGTGAAAGTTTAGGTCGAGGAAGGATTAGAATGAGTTGTCTTGAGATTACCAACGTGGTGCTCTATCATCTGAGCTCCGAGACAGCGGGTGACCAGATATTAATTTCACTTCAATAGTGTGAATATATATTTACGTCTAGTCATATCATATTACAGACGTATTTCTCTTTGTGGTTATAACACGAAGACAGTCAGAAATCAAAGCTCCAGAACTTCCCCCTATGGTTAATTGTGTTATGCTATCTTTGGTTCCCAGTGGGAGACTTAAGACAACCTTCAGGTTTACTAGCGGAATGGATTGGTTTGTCATGATCCGTTTTGTTTCTCAATGGTGACTGAATCCTATCGAATAAAATACAATAAATGATATGAGTTTTCAGTTTGCGAATTCTTGTCAGCTACTAAAACTTTAACTAACGTCAATACCAAGCTGAAATATATTTAGCACACTTAGCTTGATTTTACAAGTCACTGGTTCGAATCCGGTTGTGACCCAAACTTTAATTCCACCTTCAACCATCACCAAGTATAAAGCCAATATTGATGAGAAGCTCACCTTCTTATATGCAATAAGATCGAACCCAATAAAAATGAATAATCTTTGTAGAGGATTACTGAATAGTTGTCTGTTTGTATATTATTTGTAAATATTCCAGGAAGATAGAAGATGGCTAGGAGTGTAAGTGGAAGCAAAAGTTTTAGAAATGGAGATCTGTTATCCCTAATTATGTAAGCATTATGGAAGAATTTTATAAGAAGATAGACCCATAGACATAAGGATAGATGTTGAAAGTGAATTATGAAAAAGCATGACAAGTAGGTCAGTTGACTATGTTATGTCATCAAATATTAGGTCGATTTACCCTAGTATTGGGAGAGGGTGAAGGAGGGCTAGCTCTTTCTGAGTACATAAGTTTGGCTTCAGTTGTTTATTGGTTATCACCTCAACAGAACACAGAAAGTTGGAGTTCAAGGGTCTGCTAAGTTTCTCGAATGCTTTTAAAATATCGACGTGATAATCACTACTAGGTGTGTGGTGGGGGATTGAAATGACGAAGAAATATACCCAGTTGAGCTCTAAATTCTTTGAAAAGTGCGTTGAAATACGATCGAGTACTTTCTTCTCTGTTCTTGTGATGTATACCTGCTGCAAAACATTACGTGAATGAAGAGATGACAAGAAGATGAACTCGTAAAACAGGAAAGCACTAGAATTAGTAACGTTCCTGTTTAATTCACAACAAGAGAGTCAGTTATTTATTCAATGGAATTTAATAAATATACTTGGAAGATACTTTAAAGGATGAAACAAGAATATTGATCAAGGTATTGCTTCAAAATGATTATTCATCAATATATGTTATACAATACAATGTGCCTTGAACACCAAGGCCTATTGTTAACCCTGTCTTGAAGAAATATGTATTCGATATGCTTCGCCACATGTGCGGTTCTCAGAGTGTGATCGTAAAGCAGATTTAACTTGTGATTAGGTGAACAGAGAAAAACTGTCAAGCCTATTTACTCTTCCGCGTCTAATGAAACATCGCGCTCTGTTTATTAATTTAAATTATACGTGTAATCATATCTACATAGGGAGCAAATTCACAATTCAGGCAAGTAAAGGTCTCAGAACAAATTCCGAAATGTCCACAAAAGGCAGATAAAATCTTTTAGATCAAGTAATTAGAAAACCTAGTTTATCTGAAAAGTGTGATGCGTTTACACTGGACAAATTAAATCACCCATCTCGAAAGATGCTGATCACAGATGTCAAAGTTTTACAATTGTGGAAAGTGATACTAAAGCAGGTCATAAAACTGCTGTTTCTGTATCTTTCAGATTGGTTCCCGAACCATGTTGGGGACATACTCAAATATGTCGAAACCTTAACCATTAAGAAGTTTAGATCACTTTAATTTGTCGGTAAGTAGTGTCAGCCCATTACATCTCTATCTAAGAGTTAGTCATTAAAACCACCAGCTAAGTACTAACAGTTTAACTCAATTGATTTTTGATTTTTATTCGGGATCTTAATTTAGCCTTCCCATTTGTCGTCTTTTCATTTTCCCCCATCTTAGCCATCAAATGCCTAGAAAGGTAATTCGTTAAGATTGACCTTAAAGGGCACCCTAGCAACTGCTGAAATAACCAATCAGGTTTAGATATTCCGCCTGGCGGAGAATTTTCTTCATTAAGTAGAGGAACATAATTGTTCATCTGAACAGTTGCTGGGGTGGTCTTTAAAGTCGCCCTTTGTAAGTAGGCTACATGATTTTAAAAAAATGGCTTTTGTATTGCACTGTCGAGGTGTGCAAAAGAAGTTAATTATTTCAAAGAAATTTTCACTTTTGGGACTGCCATCAGTCACTTATGAGTACTACAATCCCCAAATACATCGAAAGTCATTTATAATAATTATGGTCGGACACTACATCTGCAAGGTAACACAATTCCTTGACTTAACACTTAAGTTTGGACCCAGTTAGATCACTTATGTCACCTGATTAAAATCCAGTTACGCTAATAAATGACTGAATGTTTATGATAAAAACGTCTGGCAGTTAGATCGAAAGGATGAAATTATATGTATATGTACATAAATGGGAAGTGATCTGATTTTTTTAATTCGTGATGTCCTGCCCTCAAATCTAGCTGTAAAATAAAAGAACCGCGCCCACATTGTCGTTGTAACAATGAAACAGATTAGCCTAATTGATTCTGGATTGGTGAGATATTGAATCAAATAATTTTCACCTGTAGTGGGTGGAAACTTGAACGACCTTGAAAGAAGAACTGTGGGTTAGGATCAATACGTAGGTGTATGGCATCACACATTTTATCCTCCGCATATCACTTATCTACTTGCTTCAGGCATGACTTCCGTAGCAGAACTACAACGAATTTGCTGTTTCATCTCACGACCATATGAAAAGGTACTATCACATCTTCAGGAATTACACCTGCATACTTTTTAATTGGAACACTAATGAAGAAGAATTTGGAGCAAAGAAATATCAATGTCAGTGTGCGTAGTGGTTCACAAGTCAGAATCATGAGGAAATCTGAATCGCCACAAGGAAGGATAAAATTATCATATGTTCGACATGGATCCGTATCACCACCTCGAAGAACTGGGATCGATTACGGCGAAAAAGCAGCGCCTCAAATAAGATGCATTACACGTCAAAACAGCCTAGTGATACAAAGAAAACCTGTTACAACTACGTATGATAGAAATTACAAATGTCAGCATAATCCAACTTCTACCCCAACAACAGGACTCGTAACAGACATAAATACAATTCGCCTGACCAACGCATGGCCAACAGACAACCAATACGAGATATCGATGCGAAATACAGCTCTCACCCCCCAAACAAATGGTATCGCGATAATGATTGGTGGAAATAACCCAGTCTCCAACATAACATCATACAGCGAATGGTTAAAGTATGACTCACCTGATTCAAATTCAGTCTCGCCATTGGGCCGGATTGGAGAACAAGGTTTATTCGACCTTGGCGTAGCGGTCGATAACAATTCAGTCTCTCTCTCTCCTAGTCAGATAGATAGTCTAAGTTCTAACTTCAATTTCTCTGCCCTACCTAATTTGTCTGAATCTACACAGCCTATTGTTCGTTGTCCTGTCTCAGTCGCCATTTCGTTTGGTGGTTCTGGTACTTTGTTATTGACTGGGAGTAACTGCAACTCAGTTTCACTCAGACAAAAATCAAATAATGAACAGATCACAAAGCCACATATACGAAATGAAAATGTCTGCATAAGCAGTCGACCACCACTGCCTCGTTTTGATCCTGGTCGTGGTAAGAAAAGTGGTATCGCTGTGGTACGCATTTCTTCAGTGAATTCTCCAGCAGCACTGCACAACTTGCGTCCTAAAACTCCCACTGATTTCTCCAGTGTGCAGAGTCACCCGGAGTTATTGCATCCATCTAGTTCGTACGATAACTTGCTATGCAATAGTGTACGACGCTACAGTTTAACCGACGGAAATTCTGAACTTCCTAAACCACGGTATCTTGGCGTTTTCACTAATACAGCTCCTAATTCAGCACAGCGATCTTTCCATTCCTCTTGTGATCATTACGTTAACGCCATGCCCAATGCTCAGTCTATGGGTGTCGAAGACATAAAAAACCAATTGTTCTCCACAAGCTCGATTGGTGAATTCTACTATGATTAACGAAACTTCCGACTTCAGTACTCAAGCAGGAACCCATGATTTGAGAATGCTGCTGAATTCTCGAACCTCACGGAATAGTATCTCATCAGTGCGCCAAAATATGGCTAGAGGAAATAAAGTCAGAGGATCTAATACTTCAGATCAGCTGAAAAATATTCGCTCTTCTGTTTCTGGATCTAATAATCAGAACTATTTTCGAATACAAATCCCGAGCACACGTGCAATATCTCGACCAAAGGGATTCGCTATGACGGATAGTTTAAAGCTATACGAAGAACAAATTTTCAGCCATTGTCAACCCCACCAACGCCCTCAATCGTGGTGTCTAGACTTTGATCAACCAAGAGATGAGCCTAACCCGGTGGATGACTCACATTCTAGTTCCCCAGCGTCTACTGTATCTTCATCATTCTCTTCTTCTTCCTCATCAGATACTTCTCAGTTATTATCGCAAAACCACGCCGATCTCAGAAGGATGAGGAATCTTCCTTACTATAGTAAGTGTTATTTTGACTTACATATGCCTGTGACGTTTACAAACTATCTTTTCATGATTTATCAACTGTTTCATCTAACTGGGCTGATCGTTCACTGGCAGGAAAACTGTCTTCTACACGTATCTTAAGTCATATGGCTTATATACGCACAATTCATTTTTACATCGCACTCTTCTGTTGTGTGATGTCTCCGAATGGTCTTCTCAGTGTATGTTCAATCTAATCCATCTCCACTTCTTTCAACTATTTGTTGGGTGATAACCTCTTGGTTAGTTCGTTGCCAGGGTTCCTTGTTGCTTATTCTTTCTAGTCATCTGACTTCAGTATCAAGTGAGTGAGCGAACGCGGCAGCTGTTGATGAATATCTGTAGTTTTTTGGTAATGGTTTTCGTAACGCACCAAGTTTCTGAACCATACAGAAGCACTGACTTGACTGACTTAGTGTTAAAAATCCGGATCTTGTTCTTTGTGTTGAGCGCACTACATCGCCACACTGAGTTCAGATTGATGAATGCCCGTCTTGCTGTCTTTCCGATCCTGGCTTTGACGTCTTCATCTGCGCCACCTGTAGTTGAAACGATGCTACCTTGCCTAGGTAGGTGAAAGACTACTTCCTTTAGGTTTCTCCCGTTAATGGTGATTGGTGCTTGTTGTTGTTGGTTGGGTATCTTCATCATCTCTGTCTTCTTTACATTCACTTGAAGTCCCGTTTTCGCTGCCTCTTGCGTCAACTTGTTGGTTTTCGCCCGTAGAACTTCTGGCTAGTGCGACAAAAGACATAAATGCTCATCGGCGTAATCCAAATCTTCTAGGGTCTTTTCATCGGTTCAGGCAGCGTATGCTCATCTCACAGCTCTTCACAGTTATTTATTGCATGATCCAGTCGACCACAATCAGGAAGATCATGGGTGATAGTAGACGGCAGCTTTGTCTTACTCCTGTCTTCACTTCAAAGGCGTCACTTAGCTTTCCATTGGGAATCATTTGGCATGTAGTCTCATCTTAAAGCATATAGCTACTGAATGAGATTGTAAAGGTTCGTGACACTGAGACCGTAGTTTTGAAGCGGGTGCCTGCCAAATTACTTCTCGGTCGATGTTGTCAAAGGCTTTTTCAAAGTCGATGCAGTTGAGGTAAGGTTAAGAGTTGACTGCCATTCTATGCTCTGTTCTATGATGACTTGACTACTGGGATAAAATAACTTCACTGCTCACAGATTTTTGATTTTCAGCTGATTCCAATTCACCATGCACACTAGCTTGAAAGTAATTCACTGACCACAAGTGAATCAAGTAAATTCATTGTTATATGTTTACTAAGACATGTAAGGGAACAGTATTTTTTTTCAATTAGATCTCATCATAATTCACTCTGGTATATATGGCCTTCAACGTATGTGAAATGTGAACCGATTACTGTAATTTTGTGAGACGACGACAACAAGAATAAAGATTCTGTACTCTAGAATAATAAACTTAAATTAGTGGTAGTATAAGGGATAATACGAATATTCAGAACGGCACGACAATATAAACAAGTGTTAAGACAGACAGACAAAGTAGGTTGAAGCTTCGAAAAGGACAATAAGGTTGCATAATACTGGAGTATAGAAGTAGTGAATAATTGAAGTTTGAATGTGAGTACGAAAGCGATATGAAAGGGGTGGTAACAATGAAAGAAAAAGGGACAAGAGCATTTTTCAAAATTGATCAGTAAAGTCGTTCATTAAGTGTTCTGTGATAAAGGCTGTACAAATTTCTTTTGAATACATAGCTTCAGATTGTTCATTCAAATTCCCATAGCCTCAGGTATATGTGAAGGGCGAGTTCGAACTCCATCGGGAATGTTCGGTAGGATCCAAAAAATCACTTTCAGTACTTTCGTTCTATCCGCTCTGTGACCACTATCAACTAGGTGCAACAAAATAGAGCTTATTACAGATTTAACCTGTCGTTTTCCCAGCTTCGAAGGTAGGTGTTCGGTAATACATTGATTAAGTTGCTTACTCTTACGCTCGATATAACTGTCTCCACAGGAATAATCAACTCAGTAAATACACATATAGGTGACAAAACTCGATAACTTGTCCTTCGTTTGATACGAAACAAATCGTCAACTGAGAAATAACAGACAGAGATTAGCTGCATAAAAGTTCTTTTAATATTCCTTGATAGTCTGTGGAATAGATCTGTATGTTTCATAGATTGTTTACGGTATCCTGAAAAATGTCATACCTGCTGTCTCTCAGTTATTCCTGTTGGTACAGTAAATATGTGCTTTGGGTTAAACTAGCATCACTCTATTGGTATGTTGATTATGTCGCTGACCACATCTCGAATGTTAAGTTATCCTATATCGTTGATAATAAAGCAAGAGAATCAAGTTTCTCAATGAAAACAAATTCAATCTATTATTAAATTACGTATGAAGTGTTAGGGTAAATATTTAACCAGATAGTCGGTTTACTTCTTTACGTAATAATATGCTTGAATTGGGAGGTTAACATACTTTTATGCCTAATTTTGAATATTATTTTAGCATTGCACAAGTAAATTTATGTAGCCAGTTGTGTACAAATTGCATGTACCTGCTTACACGTTTCATCTACCTTTGAAAGTAATTCGTGTAAAACTGTAATACGTAATGATCCCAGATCACTGAATAACATTAATGCAGGTTTAAAGAAGCCTCTCTAATAGGATTGCTTTTATCGTTAGACCTACACAGGTTTGTAAAATACGTCATCGCTTTGTGGTATTCAGTAAAGTACTGATTTGGCCACATTTACAATCATAAACACAAACCCCCCCTCACTTTGCGTTTACATCTGATATGAAATATATTTAGCTTTGACTGAGAACTTATCGGAAGAAGTAGTATAATTTATGTAGATACAAGCGTTTGGCCTCAAAAGAAAGCCTATGAAGTTTGGTCAACTGTTTTATGCTTCTATCTTTCTGATCGATTTGACATATGTGTACTGATTAACTTACTGTCTTTATGCCAGTGAGTTTTAAAACCATTCTCAGTAAAAGTTTAATGTTTGTCTACTTTGGAGCTTTGTGGCGATTCTATTGATTTGAAGTTGGTATTCATCACAATGATTTTCAGTAACTTGCTTCGAAATGAGGTTTCCCGAAGTTGTCATGATCGGTGCCGTAAACCAAGTCGGACATGAGGACAAGTACTTAACGAAAGCATTGATTGGAGGTCTCACTATGTCCGAAAATATGGGCCACTGGATTTCTGACCAGCAGCTAAATGGTAACGTGCCAGCCGAAGAACCTGAAGGCATTGGGTGCCACCCATGCCGGGTGTTGGATGCACACTGCTGAGGAGTCCCATGCCAGGACGAAACGGCTGTGCAGCGTCCCCGGGTCTTCAATGGTCGCCCAAGTGATTTCAGTGCGTGATGAGTACCAGGTTGATGTTCGGTCTGATCAAAGATCTCGCTCCAAATCCTTTTAGATGCCTGACTATCTGTTTTACTCTTAAATGTAGGAAAGTATCATTCAGATTGAGTCTTATAACTTTTTTTCGGTAACGATCCTGTTTCTGAAAAAGTGATATATTTCTCCACTTGGATTTTGTTGACGTTTTTGGCTTTTCCTTGTGATGGTCTTCAAAAGGGCGTTAGCACTTAGGTTTAGATAACATGAGACTACTTTCCTGTAATTAACCAGTCTATCTAACTCAGTATTACTGGAAGTCACTCACGGTCCGAATGGCTCATTGGTAATGTCTTTGACTGCAGCACTGGATAATGCGTGTTTCGGTCAACAGAAGGATATAAATTCCTTTTAAGTCTCAGATACGTCTTATTGAAAAGTATCAATGAAGGTGAAGCATAGATCCAGGGCTTCCTGCCAACACCTTCCAATCCCCTAACATATGTTATTTTTGACGGTTTGTTTTTCTTTATTGTTCACTTATCCACTTCTGATACTTTAGAGAAATGAAATAATAATCGAAAGCGATTTGTTGATTCATGTGTATGCTGTAGTCATAATACCGGATATGGGTTTGGGCATGCTCTTGAATATGTGCCAGCCAATATCATTTCTTCAGGCACTAAACTTCCTTTGTTCTAACAGCTCTTTCTCAGCAATTGTATTCATAAAAAGATATAACTTAGTTGAATAAAATCAATTATGTATTATTTAGCACCTCATGGGTAATAAGAAAATCTTGTAAATATAATTGTTCATCAACACTGGGATTCTTTCTTCTCTCATCCACTATACGCATAATGTCATCATTATTTTGTAACCTCCAGGTAACAGATTTATTTTACGCCTACTCTTTCACAATAATAATTATTGGGTTGAGTAACCATTATTATTTAAGTCACTATGCATACCGATGCTCTAGGATATAAGATACTAAGCATTATTTCTATTTCGAACAAAGTTCATGAAAACATTTTTACATATCTTAACAAGAAATGGTGAATTATCCTTGTTAAATTTCTCTCCAAACCTTGATTTTAAATAACTTGAAAACTCGCCTTCGGAGATGTTTTAAGAATACTTAGTTATTGGAATTATTCTGAAGTGCAACTCAAAAGACTGTATGATAAACGTTAGGCAGATGTCCCATGGGCTCTGCAGTCCCACAAGATTTTCTCTTCCAGGCACCCCACAGAAATAACTCCCGCAGTGTGAACGGTCGTGAAGTATCAATCATCCACACTCTTTCTGTATTATGAAGTAAAGCTTCTCTCTTGTTCAATTTATGACCAGAAAACTTTTAAAATGCGTTATGGGTGGGGTTTTGCTTCAAAAATCTTAAAGAGATATTATTTTGGGTTCTTTAGGGTCATTCGTTCTTAATCAGGTCCTAATTAAAATTCATGTTTAGTTTATAATTACGGTTCGCAAAAGTAAGTTGAACTGATCAAGGGTTCAGGGTTAAATTATCTAAAGAACTTAACGATTTTTCTATGAATGATGGTCATATATCGCGAATTCGATTCAAGATTGGGAAAATCGTCGTAAACT